TAGATATTTTTTAGGCATGAAATCGATTTCTAACAAAATTCTGAATATTAATAAATTTATTATGATTCCGAACAAATGGTCTTCATGGTAGAAAATTGATTGTATATAAAAAATGCTCGTAATTTTAAAAAACTGCGATTTTTTCTATTATTTCATCAATTCTTCTTCCAAAAGTGAACTTTCTAAATTTTTCAGATTTTTAAAATGTTTTCTAACGGTTTAATATCGAGATTGAAATTCAGATCTGCCAAGTTTAAATAATAAAATCCGGAAACTTAGGATCAAATGGGGCCCAAATAAAAGTTCTGATGTGTGACTACGAAAGTAGAAAATCATTTCACTGGAGTAAAACAAAATAGCCAATGTCTTGGATATCCTTAATGCTCACATATAAATTTTCATCACCCTAGAAGGGTAATTTCAACGTCAAATTTTCCTTTCCATAATCGTCTTGTCATTATCATGACAAACGAGTTCACAATTCACTGACGAAAAAACCCCCAATTTATCTCCACTCTCCTCAATTCCAATACTCTCAAAAGGTTAATGTTTTGACGTATTCTCGTTAGCATGCCATACCCGTATTGACTTTATTACCACCGACATAATTCGTTACTCGATATTTTCCGGTTCTGATAAGGCCTGTACCAATAAACTCCAGCAAACTATCAGCCGTTTTATCCAATTTGTTCGGCTTCAGAATTGATGCGAGACATCACATCAACATCTCCTTTAATTGTCACCCCGATCCTCTACTGAACGAAAGCAATTTCTCAATTGTCAATTCTCCATGAGAACGTTGAAAATTGGAATAAGAATTTATAAACGATACTTTTGCAATACCACAGAGCAGTTTATCATCCATGACCATGTAAATGTTCCTTTACTTGGCGGTGGTGTATCCTTATCGACCATGAAAGAGAAACGGTATACGTTGTAACAGTAAACGGCATTACATTTTATTACCCGGTTCAATGACAGTCCTTTAATATTTAACTAACTGCCCGGTCAAGTGTCTGCACATGTGTTCGAACCGTTATCTCCCGGCGCGAAGTGTTATCACAAATATTTTAAACGCCGGTGTTTATTTAATGCCGGGGAGTTTGACATCTTTTTTTTCATATAATAAAGTGTCGATACAGAGAAAAAGAGATTCTAGTTTCCAGTAGAATTCTTTGAATTTCAGAAAATCGAGGACAGATATAAAATGGGAAGTTTCTTAATTTAAATAATATTTTGTGATTGCATTCCTGTTCAAAATTAATGAAGTCATGGGTTTGGCTCAATCAAATATTTTTAATTACATGAGATGAATAGTTGATTTATTACAAATGAATCAGTTATTAGAATCTAATGACCGATGTATTTGATTAAACTACAGGCTTGTTACGTGTGAATAATGTGTTCGTCTGCACTGAAAAAATTGTTTATATTTGAAAAACTGTTCGTTCATTCTCTTTAGAGTGTATTTAATTTAAATAAATTATAATTCTGGGTGTCTTGTTGTAAAATTTTCCGTAAAAATCAGACAAAACAAGTGGCAAATTGCTCTCGTTACAACATGGTCAATATATTTTGTCTAATAAATAACAAATAATTCGCAATTTTATGATGATGTATTTTAAATTGTATTCAATGACTCATTGAACATCCGAACAGGGTCTAAAAATAACATATTCAAACTCCTGAGGCCAAAATTAGTGATCTTGGTTTGAAACATTTGAAATTTCGAATTTGGCGAACACAATGCTTGCATTCTGAAGCAAAAGCTCTAATTCTCAGTCATTTCTGCTTGAACTTAATAATTGTAATCATTTACATTACCATAAAATAAATAATTGATAAATAATAATAATAGTTGTAATCATTTTGATCCCACATTTTCGATTATTAAAAACAAATCTTGGTCCTTGAATTTCTAAAATTCTTGAATTAAGAAAAGTTCTAATTCACCCACATTTCTAATTTTTAGAAATCTATCACCAAATTTCAGTGATAAAAGTCAATAATGATCAGGCTCATTCTAAGTGTCGAGTATTACGAATCATTGGTGTTAGACTCCTGAAAATCAGTGACTGTGATGTCCTGCGAATGTCTTCATTTTAAAACCCCAAATTTCCTTAATTCAAAAACATTCTTCATTTGGAATAAATAGGTTTTTAGTATTCAATTCCAGAGATTTTCCTCCTGCAATTGATTAAACCGTTTCTGATTTTTAGAACAATGCACAGTACTAGAGCCATGAAACCCCTAAAAATAGTGACATTGCTCTGAAAACTAGAAACATTTCTTCAGCAGATGATTTATCATACCAGACAGTTGAAAAATAACTCGACAAATTCATTGATTTACGGGGATACGAGGGGAATAACACACATTCCCAATGCGTCGCGCTACGAGAGATTTATGCCAACATCGAGGACAATAACATCATAAATAAGACGAGTGTTTGTCGTAAATTGTGTTATGCAAGGTTTAATTAATTTTTCAGTCTGGCAGAGTGAAGTGAGGAGAGGACCAGAGGGGATTTTTGCTGGTTGTGCGGGATTTCGCAGTGGGTCACTGATTATAAAAAAGTAGAATGCCATTGTTTGGGGTTTTAACGATTCAGCAGTGACTGACGATGAGGTTCGTGGATTTTTTTAGGGAATTGTAAAGAGGCTTCCTCTGCGATGATGCTGAGGAGGCTCAGACTCCGGGCCAAGTGGGCTCTCAAAGTCAATGGGTGGTCTACATTTTTTATCTGAGAGAATTATCGGAGTATTTTTAGAGGTACGTGAAGCCAAGGATTGCGTGAGTGAATAATTATTTGCCACCTCAATTTGAACTGTTTTCTCCAATTTAGAGTGGCATTGGCATTGCAATTAGAATGGCTAATGCAAATTCAATAGCGAAGAGTTAAAACAGTTTAAGTCGATTTTGTTGGAAATGAAATTATCGTCTTAATCGACTTTTAAGAAGAGCACTATTTTTTATGGCCTAAAAAAGTTGACAATTTCGACTTGAACCGTTTTACCACTTCACTGTAAATTCGCAGATTGATTTTGAGACAAAATTTCAGGTAAAAATTTCTAGGAATTTCGTCACTGAAAATTCAGTTTGGTTAATAAAGGCTGTACAGAATGAAAGCTGTAAATTTCTGTTCAATGATTCTATTAAAATGAATAAAAATCAGGAAAATTAATCAATTTTTTTCTACATTGACACCACTGGCAAGCTTTCATGTGACTAATTTCCATAAAAAAATTATTTCCAAATGAAAAACTTTCCGCTGTTCCGATCACTTCAAATGTCAAGCCCCTGAACTTCCTGAAATGACGTTTATGCAATCAAGAAAATTCCCGCTGTCCACAACATTTATTACCCAGATTTTGCAATTGCTCGTAACTCATTGTATTTCATTGCTGTGAATATAACAGTATTTCTAATCAGAGAATGATTGATGTTTAATGTTTTAAGTTTTAAATGTTTTAGGCCAAAATTTCAAGTACAGTTGATCATGTTGCACATCCATTTGCATATCCAATTTCAAGGAATTTCATTATTAAAAAATCGAAGTTTGATGAATGAATCAATGAAAACTATTAATTTGAATTCAATGATTATATTAAAATGAATAAAAATCAGGAAAATTAACGTAAATTCTTTTGATTTTTGAGCACTTGCAACTTTTCGCGTGATCAATTCCCGTAAAAAAATTATTTGAAAATGAAAAAAATTTCCCTCTTCTAATCACCTCAGATGTCAAGCTCCTGAACTTCCCGAAATGACGGTTACGCAATCAAGAAAATTGCCGCTGTCCGCAATATTTATTTCTCAGATTTATTTCGCAATTGCTCATAACTCATTGTATTTCATTGTTGTAAATATAACGGTATGTCTAATCAGAGAAATGACTGTGGAAAAATTTAGGCCAATATTTTAGGTACAGTTCGTGGAAACTGTGGTCATGTTGCAGATCCTAAAAAAATTCCAAGGAATTTCGTGATTGAAAATTCACAGCTTAATAAATAAATCAATGAAAGCTGTTAATTTGAGTTCAATGATTCCATTAAAATGAATAAAAATCATGACAATCAATGTAAATATTTTTCAATTTTCAATTCAATCAAAAATTCAGCTTGAATTCAACTGAAAATTAATGTACGTTGTAGAATTCTCGTTTTCTTGCCACTTAACGATGTCAAATATAATTTTTCAACAGTTTAACACCACTTGCACCCTTCCATGTGCTCAATTTTCATTTAAAAAATCATGCCCAAATGAAAAACTTGCCGCTCTTCTGATCACCTCAAATGTCAAGCCCCTGAACTTCCTGAAACGACATTTACCCAATCAAGAAAATGCCCGCTGTCCACAGCATTTATTTCCCCGATTTCGCAATTGCTCGTAACTCATTGTATTTCATTGCCGTGCATGTAACGGTGTGTCCAATCATAGAATTGACTCTTCGAACGCTCCTCTCTCATCGTAAATAACCGATCAACAAGCGTCGAACAAACGTATCAGCCCTCACCCCACTCCCCTAGCCGCATTTATTCACTACCTCAAGTGTCGAAATACCGTCTGGACGATTGTATTGAGTTTAACGGCGGCATCTCCGCAGTTTGTAATCAACAAAACAGCGGGAAAATGATGCAAGTAGAAAAAGCCGAGGAAACCCGACCGCCAGACGCTGGGAATTGTTGTTTTTCCGAGGTCCACTAGACGATAGTCGTTACTTAGAGCCGGCATTACGAAGGTGAGGCACAGATTCGAGGAAAAAAGAGATACCAATGGCATCTCAACAAAAAATTAATTGACCATGACGTCATTCCGCCTGAAGAAACTCTTGGGAGGATAATAGCGATGTTTAATTGCTCGTTGGAGAATGAAAATTGCCGGCGAAAATAATGTTACCAGTTGTGAAGATCTCAGTCAGGGACTGAGATCGCAACGCAAGTCTTAATTCATTTGTCATTGATCTCAACAGTCAATTATTAACTGATCATTCAACTAACTTGGAATAAATTGTAGCCCTTGTCGTACATCCACATTTCGTCAGCTGGATGATGCTCCTTGGTGGTGTCATGCTGATTAGCGGTGAGGACGGAGGGAGGCGGTCCACGACTGAGTTGAATTGCAATGGACCTTTGGAGAAGGAGCAAACACCTCGTGGGCCCGGGCCCACCGGGACCCGTCCCGTCACCCAGTATCGAGGACATCTCTTCCGGACCCGGCTAGCGCTGCTTACGACCAGGCGGCGGCATTTCGAGGACTACAAACAGATGAAGAATTATCATTAGTTACGGCTTCACTCGTTACATTATCATTAATCATTGTGGAGGTATCGGCTTAGTTGAGATTTATTTGTTTACTTTGAGGATGAAGGCGGAGGATGAGGGGTTTTTTAGAGGGAATTTATGGGGAGTTCATTGAATTTCATCATAGAGCAGGATATTTTTCTTTTATGGTCGTTACAATCACAATGTATGCAGAGGGTTGAAATTTGTAGCCAACGAGGAGAGAGGGTTGCAGAATATATTTTAGCCACCCTCATCCCTCCGTTTGCAGGCGGTGTTGAAATAAAAAATAGTGAACGTTGATTCCGTATTTATTAGCCCCTTGATGCCAATGAAACCCTCGGAGGTGATAGAAAAGACGAAATTAAAATTTACATTTTCACGTGGGTCAAGGGTCAGGGTGAAAATCGATTTTCGCCAAAATTGAATTTTTTCGCCAAGTGAAGGTTGATAGTGTATTTTCTAACATTCTGATGCCAATGAAACCCCTAGAGGCGCAACAAGTGTCGAAATAAAAACAATGTTTTCTCCCGGATCCAAATGGTCAGATTTTTGGTTTTTCCAGGAGGAAAGTCGACTTTCGCCAAAATTGAATTTTTTCGCCAAGTGAAGGTTGATAGTGTATTTTCTAACATTCTGATGCCAATGAAACCCCTAGAGGCGCAACAAGTGTCGAAATAAAAACAATGTTTTCTCCCGGATCCAAATGGTCAGATTTTTGGTTTTTCCAGGAGGAAAGTCGACTTTCGCCAAAAT